GCATTTTGTTGATACGCGGTTTTGCACTTTCAACGACGAATGTACATACACTGCTGTTAGGTTATAAATGGCGCGCCATCTGCATATCAAAAGCCGCATTACATACGCATACATACTTTTTGTCTCCTTCTCTCACTTCCAATGCATGCACGTGTTTGCAAAATAATGACGAAGTGATTTTGTATGGAAAATCATTTATGCCCATATATTTGAATAAAATAAACATATCGATGGCTGAGTGGAGGATCGACCTATCTCGGCAGCCAGTTCGAAAACGCTCTATCTCAAACAACTTTTCAAGAACGCCCTATTTCAGAATTCGTTTCTCAGCTGCCGATTCAAAAACGCCCTATATCAGCATATTTTCAATACATTTTGAAGTGGGATAGGGCGTTTTTGAACCGAATTTTGAGATAGGGTGTTTTTCAATTAAATTCTGAAATAGGGCGTTCTTCAAACGTTTTTTGAGATAGAGCGTTTTCGAACTGGCTTCCGAGATAGGTCGATCTTCCACTCTGCCATAGATATAAAGAAGATATCAACCAATACTTCCCATACACCAAACGAAAGGAAAACTCTTGAATTTTTGATTAGATAACACAAAAACAAAATAATTCGAGAGGTTTTCGAGAATTTTGGTAATGAAAAAAATGTGCAAATTTTTTCAAAAATTGTTTGCCTTAAAATGCTCAATATTTGTTGAATTTATATAAAATTTGTACACGATAATATTTCCACTGCTCCAAAGAACCTATATCCCGAAAATGAAAGTTATATCTGCCAACGATAAGTTGCTAGAGCACTTTAAAGGCTCAAAATTTACCCCAAAATAAGGCATCGTTGTTTTTACGACAGAAATCGAATTAGTTACTTACAAAAATGAATCTGTCGATAGGTTTAGAATTTTATCTTTGGAACACCATACCTTTCCTTGAAATCGCTTCATTAGTTCTCGTGCAATAAACGTTTTCGTGAAGCTCTAAAAATTGCAACTACAATATTTCAGCATAGCCCCCATATCGTAAGGTAAGACTTATTCTACGTCAAAAAAATCATGGCCGACAAATTGAGAGAACGGTTCTACCTTGCTATATTTTTATCATGCATTTATTGAACATGATTCAAAAGCAGATTTTGAAAAAATATTTGCCGATGTGAAATTGTTTAAATGTACGCTTGTATACGTCATAAACCCATTTTTATATAACATAATTGAGGATGAATTTACAATATCCGAAAAACTCCTTTTTAAGAAAAGCGAAGAAGAGTTGGAGTTTTTGGAATTAAAAGAAGATAAGGCACTGGAAATGCAACATAAAGCTTTGCCATTGCTTGAATTCCGGCCAGTACCAGATTTAAAATATCCGCTGTTGAAACAGCTGCGTGCCGTATATTTTAAATTTTTGGTACAACATATAACTGTGAGTCTTTGTACTCTACAATGAAATTCGTAAAGTCAAAATACCGTTAACAATTAGTTCATTCGCGTACCTGATTGGGTTATAAAAACTATCGTCGGCCGCTGTGGTGTAGTGGTAAGCAGTGCGCGCTTTCACTCCGCAACACCTGGGAACAAGCCCTGGACAAAGCAACATCGCAAAAATATATAGAAAAAAGGGTTTTTCTTAACAGCGGTCATCCCTCGGCAGGCAATGGCAAAAACAGCTTCTCATAAAAATACAGTCGCCATTCGGGGTCGACGTAAAACTGTAGGTCCCTCCGCTTTGTGTGACAACATCAAGGCGCACGCCACAAATCGGAGGAGAAGCTCGACCAAACACTGACATACATATGTGTAAGCGCCAATCTATTATTATTATTATTATAAAAACTATCGGAATTTTGTGTTCGCGTACGCAAAAAAACTTGCAAAGTAGAGGAAATTTAGAGAGCAAAATGACATTTCATTTTGAGGGAATGCTGCAGGTTTCTGTTGGAAAAATTTTTGCCAACAAGAAAACAGCTGATCAAACACAGCTGGTTGGAATTTACGCAAATCCCTAAATTGAATTTGATGGTTTGAAAGTTAAAATTGTAAAATGGGACTAATTAAACTTGATTTGTTTTCTTACGTTTTAAATTTTATATTTTTGAATGTAAACGTAATTTCTATCAGCTGTTCGTGTAACTTGCAAGTTTATGCAAATTTTCTGTTCGCGTACTATTTTGGATATTTTTCTCTTGTGAGAGAACAGATGACATTTCGCTGGAATTTTGCTGTAGGGCGTTTTTTACTGTAGATTTTAAACGAACGTACCTTTTGACTAACCAACATTTAACAGAACTGTTACGAACGGCTTTAACTTAGGTAAAACCAGATTTTGAAAATTTGGCCAAAGGGATCTTTTGAATTTTCTTTAATATATTTAATAATAATAATAATTATTTATTTTATAATTAACTTTATATTAATGTCATTAATTTCTAATAATAATTGTATTTAAAAATAAAATTTTTGTTTTCGTAGTTTTTTTTGCGGCTCTTTGTAGCATTTAGAATTTACATGTGGCTCTTTTCGGCCTCGGCCTTGCCCACCCCTGGAATAGTAGCTGCAGAAAACGATAGCATGTACAACTCAATTCTTTCTTAAGTCGACTTAGGCGGTTATTGCTTATGACCACAGAATTGTCGAGCCGTTGGTTCGGATAAAAAAAAAATATTATCGAAATTGCCCTGCAAAAATACTTTAGACTCAGGGGTGTACGGCGAACTTTTTCTGTTTGCTTTTAAGGTGGTAAGATCTAAAGCATATCATGCATTGTTTTATTTTTTTATGTGCATTAGGGTGATTCAAAGAAATATTTAAGTTATGCAATTGGCTCTACTTTTTGAGATAATTCGGATTTTGATTTGTCGAAAATGCCTTTATGGTATTTTCTAAATTCTTATACATAGTAGATTAACTGGCGGAAGAGAAGGATCCGTAAACGACAGTAATAAAAAAACAAGTTTATTAAAATAAAAAACTAAACTAACTAAAAAATATCCCTTAAATTTTTTTACATACGGGAAGTTTAAAATTTTAACGCTTATCTCTGATGCTTCGAAAGAAAATGTAAATAATATGCCCAAATATGACAAAAGTTGCAGTTGGGGCTGGAAGTACTATCCGGATGTTTTGACTATCCGGATAATCGAACATTCGATTTTCTGAATAAAAAATCTGAATATCGTCGGTGATACTACAAAACGTTCTATGTCACTTATTACCTCTGGTGCTTATTTGATCTGTGATCTGTGCCTGATCGCTTCTGGCAATTGTTCATCTCCATCAAAGGTAGACAGTTTTGTTGTTCGTTTATTAGGGTGACGATTTGCAAATGCATTCCTGTGCAAGTAAAAGACAATGTAAGTGTCAAGGCTACTAATACACATAGACCGTTTTGCAGTATCACCGACGATATCCGGATATCCGAAAAGTGTGTTGATATTTGGATATACGAATAGTGTATGGATATACGGATATTCGAACCTAAAATTTAGCAATAAAATAACAATTGTGTATTAATGATGTTTTCTATTATTTATTGTGCTATTTGATAGATTCAGTAATTTTGAGAACAATTTTACTAATCCTTTATAATAATGTTTAGGATATCCGCATAACAAAATTAGCGGATATTGACCGGATTTTATTCCTATGTATACACAAATGTTCTTACGGTTATCTGAATATACGGAGTGTTCCAGCCCTAGTTGCTGTTTATTCTTTAATAAATTATTATATTAGAGTTTATGGCCTACTTACCTACATACATATCTATATGTACGTTTATTACGAGGGTCACCAAAAGTCGTTAGTATACCTAAGAAAACCAAATTTTATAGGTAATAAAAATGGTCTTATCTATTCTCAACTTATTCTTCGGCATAATTTATACTCTTTTGCTTGCGCTCAAACCAACTGTTGAAGCATTTTTCCTGCAGTGAAGTCGGTTTTTGAACGCGGTAACCGCATCTTCTGGCAAAGAAAATCGTTGTTCGCGAAGTTTATTCTGGATGTACAAGAATAAAAAAAACATTGTTAAAAAAATCTTTTGTTGATGTCTTAGATGTGTAAAAGCTTGCATTCGCTTTATGAAGACCATTTGTTGTTTTTCCTCCATTCGTCCAAGACTGTTGCCAAAGAAATGGTTGTGTACCACCCAGAATTAACTGTTCTACGTTTCCTTAATGCCACTATAGACACATTACCCGTTACTGGGAAGAATCAATAGAGACCATTTGTTTCGAAGTGCTTCTTGCGCGAACAATTTTTTTTTCTTATTTTGATTGGCTTTTTTCTTTTGGCTCATGCGCATACATCCAAGTTACATCATCTGTTATGATTTGGTTTATGTCTAATGACGATCTTCCGTCATCGCCCTGCACACAGCGTCGATGTTTTCTGGCATACAAAGGGAAGTACGACCAAGCTTTATTGCATTATTCCTATTATAAACATTGGCCCTTAATGGTGGTTATTACCAAAAGTGCAAAGAAGTTCATCGATGCCCATTGTTGTGTTAATCCACTTCGAAAGTTATAAAAAGTCATCAAAGGATTTTTTTAAAATACATATTGGTTTTTTTCTACTTGAAACTTTGAAGTTGCTGTAAACACCACAAACAGAAGCTCGTACTGTAAGATGTTCTGAGCACGTTTACGCTAAAAAATGTGAAATTTCCGGATGCAAACGTCAGATCGACTCAAAGGATAATGGTTTTTCGAATTCCTTAGATTTCTTGAGAGACCCTCGTATTTTAACAAACTTGTTTTTGTGTTTGCGGACCCTCCCTTTTTACCTCATTCAAAAGTTTTCAAACAGTCTCTAATTTTAAAAAATATAGGGAATTGATGCATTCACCGTCTAACTGAACAAAACGGGGTTGTTTTTTTCAATATTAAATAAACGGGGATCACCATATTAGTGAAGATTTCTTTGTTTTTATATGCTATTCATATTATTTTTTATAATACATACATATGTACATATTATTTTATTAATGTTAGCTACATACCTTCTTTTTTCTTCTCTGCCGCCTCCTTTTCTGCCTTTAGAGCTTCCTCAGATTTAAGAGTTAACAATACGAGAGTGACTATTCCCTCGGCGCGTCTTATCAGAGCAACAGCCTATGATGAAAAAATATTAGTTACAATTAAAATTTTTTTCATCGACAGAATAACTAACCATGTCATAATTTGAAAGAAGACATCACAGAGACCATTTTCGCAACTAAATGTTCGGCAAATCAATACAAAACCTCGAAGAGATATCTATGCATATTTTTGACGGCTTCGGGAAAAATATTCCTCAACAAATATTAAGGGCAGTGTGCGAATACAAAACAACCGCGATCACGCATTTAAGCAAAAAATTACAAAAAAATTTAGCTTGTCGGCGAATTGTACATGCAATATTTTAAATTAAAGAAATCGCATTGGAGACGTTTTTAAAGGGTTTTGGTTTTTTCTTAATTTCTTGTGAACACTGACGGACCCCAACAATTTTGGGGTTTGCGAAAGTACAAAAATATGGCGGTTGGTCGAAGTGCAGATACGAAATATTTAACTTTTTAAAAGTACAACTTCTCCTCAAACAGCACACTGAAAATAAAATTTCGTAAAAGTGCTACGAAAATCTTTCGTAGTGTTGGTTTTTGTACAATGTACGAAACTTTCGTTCATAATACGAACACATTTTTCATAACGAAAGAAGTTTTTACGAACCATACGTAAATATAACGAAAGGACTTTCGTAAGGCATTTTTTCAGTACAATTTACGAAATCTTACGTTTATTTTACGAAACACATTCGTAAAGCACTGAACAAATCTCTATACGAGAGCTTTTGAATATTGTAGGAAAGCATTCGTAATATTTACGTATGGTTTTAGATTTACGAAATCTACAATTCTGTATTCGTACAATTTAGTTAATACTTTCGTATAAAGTACTAATGCGGAAACATGTTTTCTAAATTCGTACAATATACAATTACCGGCAGTTTAATATTTCATCATATTTTTTGTATCGCGGGTCATTGCGGAATTAAGTGTTGGCTGCTGTGAAACGTATAATATAATTTTAAACGTCTTAAAAATGGATTTGCTGGATAAAAAAACAATACAAAATTAAATATTAAACCTGTGGATATACTATGCTTTTAAGCATACAACGTTTTTAACATCGCCTACGCTGCGCCTTGCGCTGCAATGTGGGACTTGATAAATAGGCAATTTCATCAGTTACCTATCAACGGTAAGGGTGGGTACCTCTGTAAATTTTGGTGTGCTGACTCAGTAACTCCAACTCACTTTAATGAGTCAGCACAGTGAGCTGGCACAAGTGTGCTATCGCACAATTGGTATGTACATCGAAATTTTTGATGATGTTAGTAATCGAAATCGATTTAGAAAAGATTATCTTTAGCTTCTGTTCGTAGCTGGCCGGCAAAATTTTAGAAAGCTGATTTCAACTGGTGAGTTCATTTGCAAAATAATTCCCCTTGGATGTATTAACTTCTAGCCCAGTTATGCATACTTAGCTTTGCTTGAGAGTTGTAATACAAGAATCTGTTAAATGGGCTATGCATGTAAGCGGTTACCCAACGCATGGCACTTCACATGTAGAATTCTGTTTGGTTTTGATTTTTACGTAAATATGGTATAACAGTGCAAGTATGCATAACTGGGCTATTCGCTTTGCTTCTTGTTAAATTTGGTAGTCGTATATTCAATTGATGGTTAGTCTAGTGATGCCATCTATTATGGTACTTTTTGGAAGATCGTATTGTGTGAATGTGTCAGCTCATCAATTGAGTTACCACATCGACACAGTTCTAAACAATGCAAGCCGCACCGAGCTATGCAAGTGTCAGCACATCAACTGAGTTACCATATCGACTCTGTAGCACACTGAGCTATACATTGTCAGCACATAAACTGAGTTACTGAGTTAAAAATTTTTTCAGAGGTGAGTCTGAGCGTGCGGCACAGTTCTAAGAGTCAGCACAGTAACTCAGCACAGTGCTGAGTTACCCACCTCTAATCAACGGCCCCCGCAACTCGCAAGCATTAGGACTTACGGATATCGTCGTTTAAAGTACAAAACCGCGTATCGTCATTCTGCAAAACCGCGTAACTGACATATGCTGCCAAAAATTGGATTTGCTCACACAAGCTCTTGGCTCAATCCTTATCCTTTCGTCCTGAAATATACTGGCCAGAAATGCGATTTCTTTATAAAAAAGAGAACCATGTTGAAATATGAGTGTTTTTACGCTCTAGAAAATAATTTCTACAACTTCACATACGCGGTTTTGCATTTTGCTGATACGCGGTTTTGCATTTTGTTGATACGTGGTTTTGCACTTTAAACGACGATATGCATTTGAAAAGTCCGGATCTTCTATAAGGAAAGAATCTCTAAATAAGTGATGGTGCCGTAAGCAATTATAAGGCTGACATCACTGCAATTCAGGAAGAGGCATGGCTGCAAACAATATGCATCATGTGGTATATTTTACAGCTGCCAGGATATGCCGCACAGATTTGGTGTGAGATTTGTAGTTACCCGGGCCCAAAACCTTGTTGTTGTTGTTGTTATTGTAGCGGCTACAACAACCCCGCCCAGATCGGTTAGTCCGTCCTCAATTGTTGTCGTCAAGCTCTACTAGCGGTAGTCCCAGGAAGCGTGCAGCCTCGAATGGGTCTGTCCATAGAGGTGCGTTACTGAGGTGCTGTGAGTCATGGGGCGACTCTCCGCATGCCGGGCATTCGTTAAGAACATCTTCGTTTAATCTGCTCAGGTATGAGTTCAACCTCCTGCAGTAACCAGAGCGCAGTTGGGCTATTGTGGTCCGAGTCTCCCGAGGCAGACGAAGTTCTGTCTCGTCCATGTCTGGTGGTTATATGCCCAGAATGGCATTCACAGGTCGGGAGTCTACATAACTCGAGACTGCCTCTCTGTGAATGCCGTTCAAGGCCTATCGATAAGCTGTCGGGTCCAAAGGTTGTTTGATGAACATCTGGACTTCGTCCGTCAGTTCGTAGAGATGCCTCCTGACGTGCCTGGGCGAAGGTTCTTCTGCAAGGAGTTGTCTGTTTGGGTGGGTGACCACGTCTGTGGCTCCCAACAAAAAACTGCTTGCAGAGCATTGTGTTATGCTCCTTAACAGGGAGCATGTGGGCCTCCTCGTGTAGGTGATGTTGCGGCGACATCAAAAGGTATCCTGTCGCTGTCCTGAGTGCTGTGTTCTGGCAAGTCTGCAGCTTCATCCACCGCGTCCTACTAGTTCCCGGTGACCACACGGGCGCTGCATTGTTTAGAACCGGCCGGCCAATTACCTTGTACGTTGCCAGCAACGTTTCTTTGTCTTTGCCATAGGTGCTGCCGGCTAACGACTTGAGGACCTTGTTGCGGCTTTGTACTCTGTTGAAAATTGCGGTTGTATGCGAGCAGAAGGTGAGCAGACTATCGAAGGTTACTCCGAGTATCTTCGGGTTGTTCATCGTCGGAATTGGTGTATCAGTGACGTGAATTCCCAGTTGTAGTCTGACCTCCTTCGTCCAGGTGGTAAAAAGTGTGGCTGAGGATTTTGTAGGAGAGAGGGTTAGGCTCCGTGCAGTGAAGAAGCGAGAAAGCTCGGCGAGAAAACCGTTTACTTTCGAGCACAAGTCATCAATTCCATTCCCATACGCCATGATCGAACAATCGTCAGCATTAGAGAGTATCGAGACTCCCTCTGGGGGTTGAGGGAGCTTTGAAATGTAAAAGTTAAACAGTAATGTGGAAAGGACTCCACCCTGTGGTGTTTCCTAGGTTTTCTCGATTTGTTTCTAAAAGTTAGTGACGAGTCACGACCACTCAGATAATTCGCCGACCACCGTTTGAGTCTCTGTGGGAGAGAGGAGGCCTCTATGTCTTCTAGTAGCGTTGAATGGCTGACAGTGTCGAACACCTTAGACAGGTCCATCGCTCCTAGAATGGTTCTCTCAAAGGGGCAGTTTCGGTTAAGGCCACGAATTATCTCGGTATTTACGGCGTTAAGTGCTGTTGTTGTGCTGTGCACTTTACGGAATCCATGCTGATGCTTCGCTGGGTGGTTCGTAAAATACGGGAGTAGCAAGGCCTCTAGTGTCTTCGCTACTGAAGAAAGGAGGTTTATCGGACGATAAGACTCTCCTGTGTTGGCTGGTTTCCCCGGTTTGAGCAGTGGGACCACTCTCCCCATCTTCCAGATGTCTGGAATGACGAGAGCGGCCATTGACAGATTGAGGACCTCCGTTAGGTACGCTATTCCCGCAGGACCCATATTTTTCGGCATCAGCATGCATATTCCGTCGGGTCCAATGGCTTTGGTGGCTTTCGCCTTCCCGATGGCTACCCTTACCTCACCGCTGGTGAAAACAAGAAGCACACTTGGTTTTGGCACTCGAAGTTTGGCTTTATCCACCGGAGGATGAAAAACGAACTACCGGCTAAAATAGCTCGCTCTTCAGCTCTATCGTCACGCTTCGTCTGGTTGGACAATGACCTCACGGTTGACCAAAGTTTGCTCACACCAGAAGCGAACTTGCAGGTTTTTAGATGCTCTTCCCATTTCTTCCGCTAATGTACGTTCACAAGTTGCCGAATCTCCGAGTTGATATCCCTGATACGGGGATTTCCGAGATCGGCCTGACGAAGCTTGTCGCGCTCATCGGCTAGGACAGCCGCTTCAGCAGAGGTGTGAAGGAATGCAGTCTTCGTGACTTTAAATCGTTGCAGTCACATTCACTGACTAACATTTTTTAACTGCAGCCAATCAATCACATGTTTGACTAAAGGCTAAAAATTGAAGTCATTAGTATTTTCTGTTCTTCATGACTAATTAGTCATTTTTGCAGTCCGAGGTGAATAATGGAAATCTAAAGCAATCTTTGCGTACACTTTTTCATAAAATTATAATGCTAATTTGTTTAGAAAACAAATGAGTACAGTTTTTTATACGTCTCACTCAACTTTCAGCAACAGCAATTTTTCAAAATTGTTGAGGACGTTCCACGGCGTGGGGTATTCAGTAATGAAGCAAACGAAAAAAGTCTTTCTACTGCGGCCGAAGATGGCAAGGGTGTGTAGTATTTAAGGTACGCCTTTTTTAATAATCGGGTCCGGTTAAGCATAGTAATTTCTGTAGATTTGTCTACCATATATATATAGGGTTTTCACTGAAACGATTTCTCATCTCAAAACGCGGACGTCCCTGTCATTCTTAACATTAAGTTTTTTTAGAGTTTCGCTCACATTTTTTGACATAGGTAATGTCATGCAGAATAACCCAAAACCGGAGCGCGTTCTCGGTCACTGAAAAAAATTCAAAGTACTGCAAAAGAATGCAATCTAATGGCTGAAATCAAGTGACTAACAAGAAATGACTAAAAAAGTGATTTATGAATCATAAAAAAAAAGAATGAAGATTAATTTTTTTGAGTCTTAGTCAGGACTACTAAAAAATGACACCTCTGCGCTTCAGAAGGAAAATACGGACGGGGGTCCGATATGCATTCCGCTGGGACAAAGCGGGCTGTAACAGCAGTGACAACCCTGCGGAATTTACGCTCACCCACGTGCACGTCGGTTGGTGTGGGTAGTGCAGCGAAGGCGCTTTCAGTTACATCCGCGAAGCCTTTACAATCAGCTTTAGAAAAGTTGACACAGGTCCGGTGATCCTCGGAAGCAAAGTCGGCTCGTTTATCAATCGAGATGATTATGGGCAGATGATCTGATGCTAAATTCAGGATAGGCCGCAATGATACGCTGTTTAACAGATCAGCACTGCAGCAGCTGCCCATAATCCTGGTGGGTGCGTCGTCGTTCATTGTGCAGAATGTCGAATCATCAATCTGCTCAGCCAATTGTGTGCCCCTACGATCGCTTGACAGGCTTGAATGCCAAAGATCGTGGTGCGCATTGAAGTCAACAACTACCATACGGTTTTCACCTCTGAGGAGCGCAACTATTTCAGGGTGATATCCTACCGGGCAGCTGGTGGCAGGGGGTATATATACGTTAAATATTTCGAGCTCGACATCGCCTGACCAGATCAATACCCTGACATTCTAGGATGGTATCCCTGCGGTCGATGTCTGCTTCGATAAGACGATACTGCACGGTGTGCTGTGATGAACGCTAGGCCACCACCATTATTTCGCGCGCGATCTCGAATTGCCGTGCAGCTTCGTCTCTTGGACCGCAAGTATTAATATTCCGACCCATGAAGACTGTTAGCTCCTCCATCTTGCTCTGAAAACCGTTACAGTTAAATTGTAAAATCTTCGTATGCCTAGGGAGACTTATTGGAATGTGGGGTGTTAGTGACGTGTGTTGCCGGGCCGCTACATGCTGTGCTTGCTGTTGCTGTGGCTGTTGCCATATGGTGTTAGTGGGCAGCGTCGCAGTTGGAGATTGCTGCCGAGAAGCACAGCATGGGCCCTCATAGTCCCTCGTCCAATCTTGCGTGCTGCGCAGTCTTGAGCATGCCCTAAAGTGACACCAGCCAAGGCAAGTGTTGCAGTTGACTGATGTCACATTACGGAATATCCTGGTCAGACACACGGTGCAGATTGTCGGAGGAACTAGGAGTTGTTGCCGGTGGCGTGTGGGTGGTGAAGCAATGGTATCAGTGGTGTGGTCTGTTGTGTCAATGGTATTGTCTATTGCGTTGTGTTGTGGTGCGATTGTGTTTGTGTTGAGTTGCTCAGGCGGACTCTGTTGTGCCGTGGAGACAGCTCGATTAGTGCAGCAAGGGGTCATGAACGCGGTGGTCCACTGCCTATGAGTCGTAAGGCCTGAGCAAACTAGGAGATGGCTTCACCCATTGCTCGTGTTGCTCCTGACGCATAGTGTAAGATTTGACCCATCTAGCTGCTTTTAATTCTGTAATTCGAAAACTATTGAAGATAGATCAATGAAATTTTGCACAAGGTACATTATAAGATAGGCGATGCTTTTCAGAAAAAATTGGTCATTTACAGTTACTGTCATGCCACCCTATTATATAACTGCAATTTTTAAAAAGGCAAAAACTGAAATATTTAACTAACTACAAAGGCTAAAATGCCCAAAATTGATATTTAGGATTTCCTTATAACAAGGAATTATAAACTGACAGAAATGGACTTAAAAATAAATATTTTTTTTAAGTATGGGTGTGGAAAATATCGATAAAAAAGTCAAGTTGTGTCAACAAAACTCCATTATAAGTTCAATATTTCTTGCTCTATTTACAAAAATGGGATACCATTGGAAAGGTAATGAATCAGGCTTTCTCTATTCAAAGCGTAAATACAAGAATTTGTCTCGGTTGAGATAAAATCCAAATGAATTACTCGAAGAAAATAAAATTCCTAGTAGGCCTGAGAAAAGAACATTTCATCAAAACCTGCACTTTCCAGCAGCTAAAATTGAGTTGTTTAAAGTCTAAGAAGAGTGGCAAATAAACTGAGATACAAACTTTATCGAATAGTGGCGGATAACGAGTTTGCGGGTCTAATGAAATTAATAAATTGCTTAAAATAAATTTAAGTTAACATCGTTTTTCTTTAACATGAAATACTCAGTCCTAGTTTACTAAAATCCCAAAAATGTATATTCATTAAAAAGAACATACCTAAAAAATAAGACCAAAATGGTATTTTAGCAATTGTTGCATAAATCACATAACACCGACAAGTTAAACACTGGTTTCAAATATACAATTTTAAATATTATTGCACTTGGTAATTTTCCAAATCAAACCCCGTCCCGCTCTAAACTTTGATTTAAATTTTTTAGTTGTTATTGTTTCGTCTTTATCAGGCATTTCTAAAAACATGTTTGACGTTGTTTTGAAATTTGGCGACATAAAATAATCTAATTAATATTTTCTCCTTTTTTCTTCTATAGATCTCCGAAACAACAGCCGTTGGTCGGGTAAAACCCGAGTCATTCCGGTACGTAGAACCTTGTTGTAGAAGTTGCCACAATACGTGTCAAAGCTAATTTCAACAACACCAGCCTCATTTGTGCGCGTGTCCCAATGAGGAATAAGGACGTTGGAACCAAGGAGCAATTTAATAAGGGGCTCACGAGGCTATGCACTATTATCCATTACATTAATTTGATTAGAAACTCGGTGCATAAGTACCATTTCGTGTATAACTTAATTCATGAATGATTTCGTGAATGGGCCTACTCATAAACGTAGTATCAGTGTACTTTGTCCAATCTAGAAGCATGATCATATTGCTGTTGTCGCAAATTAATAAGTATTTTCAACATCACTTATATATCATCGATATTGTGTGGATCCCAAAACTGTTTGGGTTTTATCAATGCTACAATGCGTCAAATCCTGGAAAAATGTAAACGTACGTATTGTTAAATGCAATAAATACCTCATCATAATTCGATTCAATAGTAACATCTTTGTTGACGGCTAGTAACATATCACCAACTTTTACTCCAGCCTATCGATATGTAAAATACAACAAAAAATTAAAAAGAAAAATTCCTTCGTACTAAAGATTAATCGCAAAATTACCGCTACAGCATTGGATTCTTCACGCAAATCGGATACGAATATACCATTGCCCACTTCGACGTGTTTTCCGTAAATTACCATAATACCAAGGAAACCCTCTTTTTTAACTTGTACTGAGCGGGCGTTGGGATACAGCTCGAATAAGAATTTTGTCTGTAAAACAGCATCAAAAGATGTAATGCCGTTTCTGAAATAAGGACTTTTTATGTATGTATTATACATACATCATCAACTTCTTTAGGGAACTTCTTGATGGGCTTTACGGAAATTCCTTCGTCATTTTCTTTCCGGCGGGATGTAATGAGTATAATTTTTTCGCAGTCGATATTTTTGAATATCACGGATGCATTTAAATGACAACGATTCTGTAGAACATTGCCGTTCACCTCGAGTATCTCGTCCCCTGCTTTTATATCCAATGAGGCTAGTGGACCATTGGATTTGATGCCAGCGACGAAGCAAGCCATTTTTCTTCTATCTGTATGACCGGCCAAAGCTAAGCCTAGTGACTGATTCGGCGCACGCTGCACTTCAATCTTGTGCAGGTCCTTCATCAAATTGTAACGTTTTTTAATTTTCGCTACAATAATTAAAAACTTAAAATATGTTCGCGGTCTACAATGAGCATTCGATTGGTGGAATACATACCCATCGTGTATCCGAACTCATCGGGTTGTTCCTTGTCTCGTTCCTTCTCCTGTTTGTTGAGCTTACAATTACCAGCAGATGCCCGATCGATCTGTAAAAGGATGGACGAATTATTTAATAGATCCTTTTAAGCAAAAACCTTACTACAATTAAACAGGGCCCGAATCGATCGAGCGCAACTCGAATCGAAATTTGGTTTTGAGATCACGATATTCGATAGCGAGTATGCTTCGCCCGTTGAAATTGTATTGTAGAGAAAACAGCTGCCATTTTGTTTCAATCGATTCGAAACGAGTAATTACTCGATCACGAATGCCGCGATTCGGGCCCAGGTCTACAAACTTCACTTCTTTTTTTTATATGAGGGGTTTCCGATGTTTGTTTGTTAGCTGAACTCGATTCTGGGGTTAAAAATGTGCTGGACACCTTTCTCAGAAACTTGACATGCTAGAGACTTCTACTTAAGCTTGAATTAAAGCTTGACCGACAACGAAAACACTTTGAAAACAAGTTTTGCATTGTGGACTGAAAGCTGTTCGCACCAGCTCAGTGCTTTCGTTGACATTTCTTTCATCCTTTGTTTACAGTTTTGCTATGAAAAAACAAAACCAAAATCTTTTTTCATTTTCTTATTTTTAGAAACCTATTCCTTTTATTCATATTTTAATTTGGCCAGCCAATTGGCAATAAATCCCAAATATCATATGTAAGATGAAATATGACTTCCACTTCGATAAGTATATCAAGAAAACTAGTGAAGACACCGATTGGAATGAGTGGAACGTGAGTTTTCAAGTAGTTTTCAGCGAAAACTGTGCTCGAATCGTCACATACGATATCCTACTACTCGTCACTTAAAAACTCATTTTTCGGATTATGACATAAGTGAACGTACTTTTTGTCCCATTTAGCTGGGCTCGAATCGTAACATCCCTTCACGGATCGAAAACCATACGAAAGAAAAATACGTGATACCGTCAGTCGTATAGGCTGAAAACGGGGTATAGAGTACGTTCACGTATGTCATAATCTGAAAAATGTATTTTTACGTGACGAGTAGTACGCTATCGTATGTGACGACTCGAGCCCTGGTTTTCGTTTGAAAGATTTCACATGGACGAAAACACAAGTTTTAGGTCGAAAACCAGTTTTAGCCACGAAAACATGTTTTCGATAGCAGTCAGAACATGGTATTATCCTACAATAGGTATACACGTAAGTGTCAATCTAGTTAGATAACGGAGCCCGCGTACGCTAAAAACTGGCACAGTAGGGGAAATTGTGAGAGGAAAGTGACATTTTATTTTGAGGGGAAGCTGTTAGTTTCTGCTGGAAAAATTTTTGCCAACATCAATTTGGCAACAGAAAAACAGCTGATCAAAACCAGCTGGTAGGAACTTATGCAAGTCACATAATTGAATTTGATGGTTTCGAAGTTAAAAGTGATAAAATGCGACAAGTTAAACTTCTTAGAACTAAGTAGTTATTCCTTTATAAATAAACTGTGTCAGGATAACACTTTGTGATGAGTTTTCGTACGTTTTACATTTTATTCAATCAGCTGTTCATCTAACTTGCAAGTTTTTGCAAATTTTCTAACCACGTACTATTAGTTGGGTTCCCTAACTCGCAAGAAGTTGCAAGATTTTACAGGATTTTACCAGAAAGCGTTCCCGTACTCGGTTCTCTGGCAAAGTAGGGGAAAAATGGGAGAGTAAAATCGGTCCTCTCTTTGTCAGAAGTTGCAAGATTATACCCGAAGAATTTTTGCTGGTAAAATCTGGTAAAGTGTCAAACCATCAGCCGTTCAAATGATGTCAAATTTGAATATGCAAAAACAAAAGTGCATCTGCATTTTCATCTTATTAAATATATCCCAGCGAAGAAATATTAAGTTTTGTAAGTATTTTTGTTAATTTGTTGGAGTATTTGAGCAAAATTCGGAAGATTGTCAAATGATAAAAAAACTGCTATGTGAACAAAAAAATGGCGCCCACGGTGTATTTGACAGTTTTACAAGTTCTTAACCGAAAAGCATTCCCGTACTTTTTGGCTTTTCTATCTTTCGCTGAGAGCAATTTTGATTTTTGACAGTTTTACAGGTTTTATCCAGAAAAGTTGAGGGACGAAACTATTCTAGATATTTTTGTCTTATGAGAGAACAGATGACATTTCGCCGGAATTTTTCTGTTGAATGTTTATTACTGGAGATTTTAAACGAACGTACCTATTGACTATAGTATGTAGGTATATGTATGTTTGTACGTACATATTTATCTTACAAAGTAATTTGCACGATTTTTTGTGCCTAATTACATTACCTCGTAGCCAGCTTCTGTACGGATTCGGCCAGTCATATCCCGTGTATCCTCTTCATCTTCGTCGTTGGCTGTATAAATCGCTGAAGGTTTGGCACGGATGGAGGCAGAAAACGCCGCATTCCTGGGCGCTTCTTTCGGAGCCATATTCGGCTTATTCGTCGAGGTAGGAGGTTCTAAGATAAAATATTATTATTTATATGTGCAATGAATTGCATTTAGGCACCTGGAGCGAATTTAGACTTAGCTTGAACGTATCCATTCTCACGTTGATCACGCTCATTCGATTTCTTCTCATCCTAATTACCAACGAAAGGTAAATGAAGTGTAGTTTTTTATTTCAAATTTAAGGTCAAACAATTGAGTACCTTTCCATAAGTTTGAATTTCCAGATTTATTTTGATGCCAGCATCTTTGATATGTTCGATGACAGCTTGCTCTGTAGCATTTCGAACGTCCTTATTATTTAGGGATAATATACGATCGCCCACCTTACAGTATATTGTAATTGTAAATAAAGCTTGCATGTATAAACTCGTGATATTTGTATTTAAATACATACATACGTACATAGTAAATTCCTAGCGAAACTTTTTTACCATTAAAGCCTTTTAAGTTCTATAATCAGCTAGGTTTTTAGTATATAAATTGCCATTCTAAAGCATTTTTTTTCGTTCCGCCCTATAAACTGCTTATATCAACTTCCTGTACTAAATTTTCAAATCGAAAATAAGAGCTAACGGTTGTATTTAAGTTTGTTGCAACCTACATGTTTTTATAAACATACAAAGCTACATACTAGGGATGTTGCGGATGTGGAATTTTAGACATCCGCGGATGCGAATGCGGATGCTGATGTTTAAAAGCTAACATCCGCGGATGCGGATGCGAATGCGGAGGTTAATTATTTTTAATAAATAATTTAGGTGAGTTAATTATGTGGTTTAGGTAAATAAAAAATGGAAAAGTTAGTAGTTTTTAACTCAACTTTTTCACATTCCATTTTATTTTAATTTCGCTGCGCGGTTTTTCAACAGACCTTTGGCAAATAATATTCATAGTTACATTATTCTTACCTAATTAAAGGTTACCTTTTAAGGCGCAAATAGTCGATTCTTTTTATAGCTACCCCTTGAACATTTCCGCTGGAATTGCATATTGGACGATCTTACTCTTTGACTTTAAATTACAAAAGAAGGGAGACGTAGGGGGACAATTTTAACGTAGCATCCCCACAGTCAAAAAATATTGGCTACAATTTGTCATTTTGTTTGCCAGATAATCGTTTTATATCAGTGCACTTGCACAATATTCGCATTCGCAAAAGCTCCGCGTTGATTATTGCGAATGCGAATGTTAAAATTCATGCGGAAGCTCCGCGGTTGCGAATGCGAATGCGAATATTCGCAACAACCCTGGTACATACCTACATAAATATGTATGTTTGTAATTACATAATATTGTGGGATAATTCTAAGGCAACTCAAGCGGAGGTGGAATTAAGGAAACCCTAACAATGTTAGTAATTAACTATTTAGAATTTTTTAACTGCTTGCTAACTAAAGTTTTATACCCTTCATGAACATGAAATGGAATTATTACTTTGGTGCGATGTTTTTAAGTACAAGAAGACGAAGAGATAGACCCATTTAATTGTTTACCAAAATAATCAGAACTTGGAACTGAGTCGATTTAGCTATGCCCGTCTGTCCCTGTGCCGGTCTGTCTAATCTCTCTCGCAATCTAATCTCTCAGTTTTTGATAAATAGGACTGAAATTTGGTAAGCGGGGATACTTTTATAATGTACTAGCAGAGCACCCGACGTCGTTCGGGGTAAACAAATCAAAATATAAATCAGTAGTACAAATATTCAGTTTTGCATAAATTAAAGGAGACAAACTATTTTCTTTCTATTTAAATTAAGGCGTCCTTATGAACCATACTTTTGGCTTTATCGTGCTTCAACTACTATATGTATATTTGTCATCATTTTCTGCACTACAAATCTTGTTTCATTATTAATATTAGGTGGATTAAGATAACGATAGAATTTTTAAATTAAATTTAGTCTACTACGGTACATTCCGTTTAGCTGCCTATTCGCTTAGCTATTTTAGTATAGCTGCACTTTTCCGGTAGAATGCTTATTTCGGAAGAAGATTTATATTAATGAATCACGAGATCAAAAAAGCGATTTTATCTTTCGGTTTCGAAATGGTCTAAAGACTGATAAGGCGGATTCACCCTTCGTGTTCGGAGACTTTTTGTTAGTAATTTTACGCGTTCCTTTCCCACTTTGTCTCACTGTGAGCGCGACAAAAATTTGCTGAACACTCTTTGTTCGAATCAACTTGATGATTCGGATTGCCACGTTCTCCTTTATATGCGTTTGCGGCGTGTTGCATGTGTTATTTGCACTCAACATCGTATGTAGGCAACAATATTATCAGCTGTTTGCTTCAGAACAAAATAAAATGTGCCGAACTGAACGGTGAACCGTACCTCAGCACCCTCTCCGGCAAAAAGTTTTGAGAGCAAATAAAAAGATGTCCGGACACGAATGGTGAACCGGACTTAAGACACAGTTTTAAATATCTGCACAACATACACTAGGTACGCTTCGCACTCAAAACTGCAAAAAAGATCTCGCGCTCCACACTTTAACGAACGCCGTATGTTTTTTTTTCAATAAATTTCGTTTTCATTTTCAGTAAATACGAATGCTAAATCAATTTATAATATAAATTTTTTTCAGTGCTGACATAGTTTGCATTATTTTTTCAATTTATAATTGTTTGCATGATACAAAAAAGAAGGTAGTTTCATTTAATGACATTCGTTGTTGTTGTTAACCATTTGACTTTTAATAAAATTATGACATTTCATTAAATTCGTGCTACCTGATCACGAGCAGTAACATTTTTATACCCGAGCGCACTTGTGCACAAGGGTATATTAATTTTGTTCACATAACGGTTGTTTGTAACAGCCAAAACGAATCGAGATAGATATAGACAAATGTATACATAAACAAGTAAGAAAGTCTAA